TGTTTTTTTAGTATCGGGTAAGAAAAGATCATTCGTCTAGTCATTCATTTTACGATTCTTACCCGATCGAATGATTGATACCACATCGTTCCATCAGAGAGGTTTTTATTTTAGCTTGTTATATACATGTATTGTAAATAAGGGGATTTGTACGATCAGCTTATCTCACTTGGCCACAAACGAGGAGATATGTTTGGGAAATATTTCAATTTTGTTTAGGGATAATTTGTGAGACTTTTATTTTGAAAAAAGGGGATCATCATCATCATCATCATCATCATCATAGTGGTTAAAGCGTTCGATCGTCACGCCGAAGACCCAGGTTCGATTCCCGACATACAATGTGTGAAGCCCATTTCTGGTGTCCCCGCCGTGATATTGTTGGAATATTGCTAAAAGCGGCGTAAAACTATACTCACCACTCAATCACTCGCCGCCATTTTGTTTGAAGCAAATACAAGTGATACGAGAGGTGGAATCTGATTGGTCCATAGGAGAGGCATAGAAGGGACATAACTCGAAAAAGCCACTGCTGGCGCTACGATCGAGCCCAGGAATTCCTGCCTAGTTCGCCAACGGTGGAAACTGGACTTTTACAGTCAGTTAACACTCTCCGGAAGATGGAGATACCATGCCCCAGTTTAACATGAATACCCCACTCAGACACAGGATACACTCCGAGCCGACCAGTCCTTGTTTTATCCCCTTAAAGCCGAGCACCAGGCAGGGTAACAAAAAGTACCATCTTTTAACGTTTTTTGGTACTACGCGGCCGGGGATCGAACCCCGGACGCTCTACCACTAGACCACAAAGGCGGTCCCAAGTTCCAAGGCTTATCCCAAATCGGAATATATACTGAACCGCAAAGGAAACGTCACCCCAAGTAACATTGCAAGAAAAGTTGTCATTTAAATATCTTTGTAATTTTTGTCAAAGTTTCTAAAATTTAACATGACCTTATCCGGAAAAATGAAATTCGATGATAAAAAACAAAGCAGATGACAATAAATCCGATCGCCCAAACGCATCACGGCAACGGCCATGGTAACCCGATGCACGTGAGTTCCGTGCAAATAGAAATGTACACGCGTTCCCCCATTTCTTGCCCTATAAAAATCCACTCAGATCGGATAACATTCATTCGTTATTAAATTGCTACCACATACCAAGATTGACAAGAAATCAGCGACAACAAGCCCTTGGACGATTGCAAGCTGGACAAACCGCCCGGCAAGTCACCAGTGCATTTCAAGTCCACGTAAGGACCATATACAAGCTCCAGCAACGGTACCAGACCACCCACACTACAGATGACCGACTACGTAGTGGAAGACCAAAGGGTCACCAACCGACGTCAGGATCGTCAGATTGTGCGACAGCATCTTCAAGATCGCTTTGTTACTGCTGCGGAATCTGCTCGACAGACCAAGGGGACACACCAGCGACACATTAGTGCGAACACCGTGCAGAGACCTCCACTGTCACAGGCCAAACCGAGGACACCACGTCATCGCCGGGACCGTCTTCAGTGGGCAACACAGCACCAGCATTGGCGCCAACAACAGTGGAGAAGAGTCCTCTTCTCAGACCAGAGCCGTTACTGTATCTCAACAGCAGATGGCAGAGAAAGAGTCTGGCGACGCCGTGGGGAACGTTATTCGGATGCCTGTGGTGTTGAGAGAGACGCGTTGGGGTGGTTCGAGCATCATGGTGTGGGGTGGAATTGGTCTTGCACAGTGGTCTTCCAGAACATCGGTACAGGGAGAGGCAATGGTGTCACAGCAGCTCGGTACATTGATCAAGTCTTGAGTCCACACGCCACACCTCATTTGGCACGTCGCCGCAACCTCGTGTTTCAGCATGATAACGCCCGTGCCCACACTGCGAGAGCAACAAGAGACTTCCTCCAGCAGAATGGCATCAGAACCATGCAGTGGCCTGCCCTCAGTCCCGATTTAAATCCCCTTGAGCACCTGTGAGACGAGATTCAAAAACGGCTGAATGTCGTCCGACCAAGGCCGACAACTACAGCTGAACTGCGTCAGGCGTTCCACAGAGTGTGGGCTCAAGTGCCTATGGCCTTCATCAACCGCCTCATCCATTCCATGTATCGACGTTGCACGGCAGTCATCAATGCACATGACGGACACGCGAGATGCTGACTTGTGATGCCATTTTCTCAGAGACTATTGTTGTGTTTCACTTTTAAGAACATTTGACACTTGAATTTCAACCTTAATGATCAGTTTTGCCAAGTTTCAAGTGTATGTTTACAGTGTTTGGACAAATAAGTTCTCATATATCTATCCATGGTGACGTTTCTTTTGCGGTTCAGCATATATTGGGGGGATTGCGAAAGATTAGATTTTTCACTAGAGTGTAATAACTACATGTATATCGTAGGTACACAATGCGTAAATACCAAACGTGAGAACAAATTAAACCCGGTTATTTATTATATTAAACTTACATTATTAACACACACACATTTATCTTTAACCATCATACAGTTATTTTCGCTTGAGTGAGTGAGTGAGTTGGGTTTAACGCCGCTTTTAACAGTATTCCAGTTATATCGAGGCGTGTCAGCTTAATGTGGGAGGAAAGCCCGAAGTGATGCAGGTCTCAGACGTTTACCACTTCGGTTAAACCCACGAGCACGGATATGGTGCTGACAAACCTAGAAACATAATCGGGGCGAACCGGGATTCGAACCCACAATCATAGGTTTCTGGCGTGCCCAAGGGACGCAACTCTGCACAGCGAATCGCGGCGCCTTAGACGACTGGCCAACCCGTGCCCCCGTTTTCGCTTGAGAGTTGTACACATGATACATTTGCCACAGTGAACTGATCATTCTGAACATATTATGGATACACACCGGTTATTAAAAAGTCCAGCACTATATCGCCAGGAAACGTCTATGTAGATGCACCAGATTACAGGGTTCACATTGTACTCATATGGGACATCAAACCGAATTTTAGCGTGACAAAATAATGCTTCAACTACTACGTGTACCCTAAAGAGGTTTCAGAAGCCATAGATTCCCTCAAATATGGTAAAGCAGCTGGTCCTGATGGTATTTTACCAGAGATGATAAAGTATGGCAGTGATGTTTTAATTCCACATCTTCTTGTTCTTTTTAACAACATTCTATGCAGAGGTAGTTTTCCAGATCGATGGTCTAAAAGTATTATCTTCCCTCTCCATAAGAAAGGTAATGTTCATGTTGTTAACAATTATAGAGGCATTTCCTTGATGGATATTTGTGGTAAGGTTTTTACCCAGGTTTTGAATAATAGATTAAAGCATTTTGTTAAGTTATATGATAAGCTCCCGGAATGTCAGGCTGGCTTCCGAAAAGGATATTCCACAGTGGATAACATGTTTATTCTTCAATCATTAGTGCAGATATATTTGTCTAAGTCAAAAGGAAGATTTTACTGTATGTTCATAGATTTTCAGAAAGCTTTCGACTCTATTAACAGGGATCTTCTTTGGTTTGTTCTGCATTCAAAAGGAATTCGTGGTAGAGGGATATTTGTACACGAGGATTTACTGGAATTGGTTCTTCTCTTATATGCGGATGACTTGTGTATTTTTGCAGATTCAGTTCTTGAACTACAGAAGAAGATTGATGTTTTACACAAATTTTGTAACAAATGGGGTCTAAAAGTTAACATGGATAAAACTGATATCTTAGTTTCTCGTAATGGTGGTAAGTTAAGGAACAACGAGAAATGGAAAGTGGGGCGTATGCCTGTCAAGGTTTCTACATATTACAGTTATTTGGGTATTATATTTTCAAACAGGCTGTGTTGGTCGAAAACAGTTCAGACATTAGTTTTGAAAGCAAGTAAAGCTTTAATTCCTATAAAACAGCTTAGTTATAAACTTCGAAATATCGCTCCCAAAGTGTTGTTTAAAATGTTCGACTCTCAGATTAAACCTATTATTTTATATGGTTCAGAGATTTGGGGGGTTCATAAATGGTTGTTTCTCGAAAGTTTCCAAGCAAAGTTTTGTAAATTTGTTTTGGGTATCGGTTCCAAATCTACAAATGTTGCAGTGCTCGGAGGGTGTGGTCGATATGGTATTTATATTGATTCTTACACGGAATGTTTAAGATACTGGTTTAAGCTTCTTAATATGTCTCAAGAGAGATTTCCAAAACGGGTTTACGATGTGTTAGTTAGGTTTGATGCCGTTGGTAGGAATACATGGGTTTCGGCTATTAAGAATATGTTATATTCTCATGGCTTCAGACATGTGTGGGAATTTCAAGGTGCTGGTGATCCTGAAGATTTAATAAGTGAGTTTATACTGAGGGTTAAGGACTGTCATGTACAAACATGGTATTCTGAATTGTCTGGATGCTCGAAATTAGAACTGTATTCATTATTTAAGACATCATTATCACTTGAACCGTATCTATTAAATGTATTATCAAAAGAAAAGCGACGTATGCTTACCCTTTTACGTATTGGAGAACTGGGAATTATGCATAACACAGGAAGGAGGGAGTGCATCGATAAGACCGTCCGGTTTTGTCCATTGTGCAAGTTAAGGGCATTATAAAATGAAATTCATTTCATTCTTGTTTGCCCTATTTATGAAGATATTCGCTCAAAATATTTCCCATATTTAGACTCCATTACTGGTAATAATCGTAAAGACACACTGGTTAGAATGTTAAACTCTTCTGATGTAAACCGCCTTGAGAACTAAGCCAATTATGTTAAAAATGCTATCTGTCTTCGTTCTTCTTACCTGTAAATATTATTTCATGCAGCACTTGATGTGAAACTATTTTGTATATATATGTACGTGGGCCTGAGGCCTTATTACCGAATAAACTGATTGTATCCTACATATTCAGTAAAGCATTACGTGAATGCGCTGTTTAATACCTGGAGCAAACCCACTGGATACAGTGTGTGCGTTCAAGCGATTTCCCCTTCTACGCTTTATTGCGCCCCGTTCACTTACCCTTGCATAGGTGTCCTTCGAAGGAGAAGATTTGATCTGTCGTGAGATGCACTGAACAGACCCGTGTGCTCCATTCATGTTCGCCACACGCTTGGGACTTGCTTGCGGATGGCTCTCGGGATAGAAACACATGACCACACCCGCACATTTCACATATCCCATGAACAATCAAACACTGGGAATTCCGTCAATAGCGACCACGATACTCATGCGTCAATGTACGAAAAACGAGAGCTACATGAAGAGCGAAAACCTGCAGTAAATTGGGTCATCGAAGGCTTCCACTCGCTATTGCGTTGACAGCCAGGTCAATTCTGAAAACACCATTGGATAGTCCAAAGACGTGCGCACGCATCTCACGCCTGAACGACATTTTCCAGACGCATCCTGTTTCTGACGCCTGTCTCAATCCCAGAGTAGTAAACAACAAACTTTCCCTTGGATAGCTACTTCTGTTTATTCTGAGGATGTGATAGTGACTGAGTCACACATGACATCAGGTATTGCACTCTGCTGTTATGAAAAGTTATCAGGTCACCAAGGATCATGATAATAATTAAACACAGCGCCTGCTGTTTCACGTACACAAACTGATAAGGTAAGTGGATATATAGAGGTTATCACGCGAGTGTGTTTCGGGATGGTAAATATCCTGCATTAAGAATAAACATTGTATTTAGCGAGCCTTGGCGAGCTAAATACATAGTGTTTATTCCTAATACAGGATTTTTCCCATCCCCAAACACACAAGCGTGATAACCTCTTTATCATATAATGTCATTCTTTAATTCTGTGCTTTAAAATCGCTTTCCCTCTCTCACAAACATTACCGAAACATTGCGACTTTTCCTGGAATGCGTGCATTAATATTTATTACGTCACAGGGTAGGTGATGTGTCAGTCGGACAGTGACAGTAGCCGATATAGTTCCAACTGAAATCTGTTTCTTATACAGTGGCGAAGCAACATATACGCAAAACAACAGTTGTTTTTAATTGCCTTTCGCGGCATTCCATCGGTCTGTCCGCTAAAGTAACTGCCCTTTGTCAAAGGGAAGCTACTCTTACCCTAGTCTATGAGACGTCACGGCCAGACGTTGTTGACAGTCGGTCTGTCCTGTTATAACGTTAAGAAGTGTAGTCAGATGTACACACAGCGTCAAATCGAAACAAGGTAACAATTCAAACTTATTTCGGCCAAATCCAACTATTTTAATTTGTGGAGAAGGTTTCAAGCCGCAGAGGTCTACAAGCACAGATATGGTTACTGATCCCGCTTGGCTAGGCCTCGTGCCCTCGCAAAATTGTTTTGAAATTTATATCTCCAAAGTTGCCAAAACTTATAAATTGCCTTAGCTACGTCACAGTTAGACACTGATTTTCAGTATATTAGACTGTTCTTTTGATAATGATAGTTATAATCCCTGTAGTTTATCCAGATTCCCGATGGTTAATTCTGACTCGATCGCCGAATGACGAGGGCGACACCATGTTTGTTTATAAACAGTGAAAGTAGTCCTACTTGACCTTTGATATTTGCATCTCTATCCGCATATGACCCCAACGGATATCGTTTTTATCCGTAGGCTTTATCCTGCCGAGAAACCTACCCATTATATGATAAAAAATAATATGTGAACATGAGCAGTTACTTGGTAACACCGAATCGTGTGTGTTACTAACATAATACTTTATAAATCAGTGATGTTGCATGAGGTGATTGATCAAATGATTCATATTTTTCCTGAAAAAGAATTATATATAGTGGGCGTTTGTAGGCAAATGGTGTAATATGCAAGATATTGTTTTTGACATTAATTTCAGATATTTAAACATGCTTGAGTTTATTAAAGCGGTATTGTTTATACATTCATACTGAGCGAGTGAGTTTGATGTTACGACGCCTTTAGCAATATTTCAGTAATATCACGGCGAGGGACACAAGAAATGGGCTTCACACATTGTACCTTCGGCGTGACGAGCGAACGCCATCAAATAAGAAGGAAACGATATATACTCATTTTCGACTGGTGAACATTTTGTAATCCATTCCAATGTGACGTACTCGTCCTTTCTTTCGAAAAGCAAGATCCCAAAATTATTTATGTCACAGATGTGATATTTTTCTCGACATGTGTACAGTCAAGTCTCGTTAATCCGACATCGTTGGTTGCACATGATTGTGTCGGATTAACGAGTATGTCGGATACACTATTTCGTGTATTTTGCCGCATAGCACAAATATATTTCTATTAAAAAACAAATGAAACAAAGTTTATTTTATCAATATTTCATTATATCTATGTTCATATATATTCTTGGTATATATGTTCATGTTTTTTTAAAAATCCATGACGTTTTCTTCCGTGTGAATACTTAGAGTTTAGTGTTTTTTGGTAAACAAACATGAAACTTAATTTTATCACATCTTGTAATGGATGTGGTCAATTTGTTAACACAAAAGGTAACTCTGTACCCATATGTGATCATGAGTTACAGGTAGTATGTAGTTCATTAAACCTGACTACACACAAAATCCGGTATTTGAATTGGATATATTTTATTGGAAAATGTTGGTGGCCTGACATTCGACAAACGGTGCGTCAAAATAGGTCATCAGCAACCCATGCTTGCCGTAAAAGGTGACTGTGCTTGTCGTAAAAGGCGACTAACGGGATCGCGTGGTCAGGCTCGCTGACTTGGTTGATGCATGTCATCGATCCCAATTGCGTGGAATGATGCTCATGATATTAATCACTGGATTTTCTGGTCCAGACTCGATTATTTACAGACCGCCGTCTATAGCTGGAATATTGCTGAGTGCGGCGTTAAACAACAAACAACCAACAAACCTTGCTTATGATACTGATCATGTGATTTTCTGGCTCATATTCGATTGTTTACTGGCCCCCGTCGTCTGGCTAGAGTATTACTAATGGTAATTATGTGAGTGGCGAGAGCTACTGGTGGAGCAGAACATGCTGACCCTTTTCGCGATCACCGGAACACCTGATGACGTTCTGATTTTCAGTGAGATGCATTCACATCATTTTCAGCACTATTTTACTTTTTACGCCCACTGGAATCTGGTTCTACGTGTAAACGACACGTTGGCGTTTTGATAGGATTTGCTTCATGTTCATTGCAACGTACCCTTTCGATTTTTGAGAACTAGGACAATTGCAACATATATTTCTGACATTTAGAGAATAAGCAACGAGGATTTAATGATGTTCTGTCTCGAGTGAGTTAATTTTGTAGCCCGAGTAACCTTCGTCACCACTCGCCCCTTTTCGTCACCTGCAAGAAGACGATGAATGTTATGTGCGAAAATACGATAAACCAATCAGTCTGCACGTATGACTTCAAGTACTTCAGGCAAAGAATCCCTCGGGGATAATTTTTGAATTTACAATGTCTTGCATCTAAAAATATACCCAACATACAGTTAAATGTGTTCAAACATGCTGTATAATACCGCAAGTCCAGATGTGTTTTAAATAGCATTTGAAACATATATGTATGGGGAAAATATACATGAATTATTACGCAACGAGTTGACAATTCTTTCAGCTATGCTCGTAAAAAAAATGCCACGAGAGGGTCACGAGTCGCTATTCGGCTTGTACCGGAATAACACGATGCCTAAGTCACGAGGGGCAGATAATCCGTCATTCCGATCCCTATTGCGTGGATCGATGCTCATGATACCAATCACTGGATTTTCTCGATTATTTACAGACCGCCGTCATATAGCTGGAATATTGCGGAGTGCGGCGTTAGACAACAAACCTACCAACCAACCAATAAAAAACATTTCTATGAAATAAAAATAAATAAGTTTTACATTAATAGGAATTTATTTACCCCACCTGTCACTTTCTTAAGTGGGGGGCACGGGTGGCTCAGTCGTCTAAGGCGCCGCGATTCGCTTTGCAGAGTTGCGTCCCTTGGGCACGCCAGAAACCTATGATTGTGGGTTCGAATCCCGGTTCGCCCCGATTATGTTTCTAGGTTTGTCAGCACCATACCCGTGCTCGTGAGTTTCACCGAAGTGGTAAACGTCTGAGACCTGCATCACTTCGGGCTTTCCTCCCACCTTAAGCTGACACGCCGTGATTTAACTGGAATACTGTTAAAAGCGGCGTTAAACCCAAATCACTCACACTTTGTTTAATGTGTCCAGTATCTGTCACTTTCTGATCTGGTTAGAGATGGCCCAGCACAAGAACACTGACCGAGGGTATGCGTGGGTGGTCTTGGTCATCAGCTGGCTACAACTGGTCATCTGCAGCATCGTCTACTACTCACCAGCCGTGGTCAACACTGCCCTTCTGGAGAAGATGAAGGAGGGCGTGGTCAAAACATCGTGGGTGGGGTCTACCGTGTATGGGACATTTATGTTTACAGGTAGGTATAATAAGCTTTAGAGATGGGTGCTATTCGTAAACACTAATCTATTTTACTTGAAGTTTTCCCTTTTGTTGTCCAGTTAAACACCGTTGTGTCAAACCTGATGTGCCGAACCTACGGTTGTCTCGAAGTAAAAGCTTGGTCCTTTATTTTCGATAATGTTGAACCTCGGGTAACTTGAAGAATTAACGCGGGTCCCTTCAACTTCGACACAACGGTGTTTGACTGTACTTCCATTGAGTGAGTGAGTGAGTGAGTGAGTTTGGTTTAACGCCGCTTTTAACAGTATTCCAGTTATATCGCGGCGTGTCAGCTTAATGTGGGAGGAAAGCCCGAAGTGATGCATGTCTCAGACGTTTACCACTTCGGTGAAACCCACGAGCACGGGTATGGTGCTGACAAACCTAGAAACATAATCGGGGCGAAACGGGATTCGAACCCACAATCTTAGGGTTTCTGGCGTGCCCAAGGGACGCAATTCTGCACAGCGAATTGTGGCGCCTAAGACGACTGGGCCACCCGTGTCCCCTGTACTTCCATTGAAGTAGACGCAACAGGCGAAACTCTCGCATTATCAGGGATAGGAACCTTTGCAATTTGTCTGACCTTCTGAAGTGATGTCATGTAAACATCTGTCACATTGGCGTTGTGTCCTTGGGTGAAATACTGGAACATACCGAGATTACGTGGGTTGTCAACCAGCCTGTTGCATTAATGAATGTGCGACAAACCGTTACTGATAGCACATTGCTGGATCCATAATAAATTACACTAATATTTCGCAACGAATTACCATATTCCATGAATCTGTGAGTATGTCCCCATTTATTCCACATCGAACAATGGACTCTTATCATTATGGAAATGGTTGTGTGGCTTTGTATTATATGCATAATAAACAATGTGAAATGATTTAGAACGCTAAGTGGGTCATTAGAACAATGGAGTAAGCTGCAGGCAATCAAAAAACCTTGTTAAAAACACAAAATCGGATCAATATTTATATGACTTAAAACCGCATATATGGTCCCGCGAAAATGTCCATTTTCATGATCAGCTGTGAATTAAGATGTCAAACTCTGTGTGCGCAAAATCAAAATTATAACCATCATCGCCCTAATCATCTCAGCTTTTACCTCGTGTAACTCATATTTTATACAGTGCTACAGATTTCTAAATATGGTTAGATTAGTAAAGTGGTTACCACTCTTCTCGACCTTTTTGTGCCATGTTGAGTTTTATGCGAATGACGGCGAATGTTTTTATTATGCACCCATGCCACATACACGTAACTGTTATATTATCAGACAGCCAATTTGAAAAAGAAAGTGATCAGACGGGTCAGAAATATTTACTTTTCCCCACTGCACAGTTATTGGCGTGAGACTACTAACGTTTAGTCCGTAAAGGAAGTGTTTTGTTCAAGTATTGCATATGTTTATCGACTGTGTGTCATGGCGATTTAGCACGGCGCTAGAGACGAAACGGCAGCGCAGATTGCCTTTCTGTTTATGATGCTGATTTACAGAAATGATTCAAATCTAAGATATGGAAAGATAGCTATGATCGTTAACATAAAGGTGGTATAGTGTATATGTATGGGCAGGAAGTTCATGATTAAAACGTAAACATTGAATGTAGTAGTATTGGTAATGATGGTTCTGGCTCACTTCCACTGGAGCAGGATTCATATACCTATACCACCACTACAGAGGGAATTTTTTATGCCAAAATGATTATGCGATTCAACGATAGTCATGAGATTAAGTTAAATTGACTCCAGCTCACCACCACCTGGAGCCAATGATATAAATTTTTATAGGTAATGATGGTTCTGGCTCACTTCCACTGGAGCAGGATTCATATACCTATACTGCTACTACAGCTGGCATTTTTTATGTGTAAATGATGATGCGATTCAACGATAGTCATAAGTCGTATTAAAAGAAACATCAATATTAATTAATAATGGATAAATTTACTATAGCCCACGAGTTTATTGGAAAAGTATAGGAGCAATAAAAAAATTAGCCACCGCGGCTAAGGTATCTAAGGATGTGGCCAAGGATTGGTTAAAGAAACAAGCGATGTGGCAAATATATTTACCGGCACCGCGTTATATACCGAGGAAGAAGTTTGATATTTTTACAACGAATGAAGTTCATCAGGCTGACCTCTTGTTTCTTCCCCACGATAAGGTAAAATGCAAAACTTATAAATACGCTTTAACCGTAGTGGATGTGGCTAGTCGATACAAAGAGGCTGAGCCATTAACCTCGAAAGATTCAACAGAGGTAGCTAATGCGCTGAGCCGCATATATAAACGCGGACCACTAAAATGGCCTAAGCTATTTCAAGTAGATCCCGGTCGCGAGTTTATGGGATCGGTAACTAAACTGTTAACAAAGCACGATGTCGAAATCGTCCGTGGTGAAAAAGAGGCCCGACGCAGTCAAGCTATCGTCGAAAGATTTAACAGGACATTAGCGGAACGTTTGTTTGGCTATCAGTATGGGATCGAAATGAAATCCGAGCGATTGAGATCAACCGAATGGGTGACACGATTATCAGCCGTTATATCAGCGCTGAATAATGAAGTAACGAGATTAATAGGGAAGAAACCATTCGATGCTATTAAAATGAAATCCGTGACTTTCGAATCTTCAGCACCGAGGAGAGGCAAAGAACGTAAACTTCCGGATAGAGTAAGGGTAATTTATTTATACCAGCCCGGTGAACTCGAAGAAGGCCTACGTCGCGCAACCGATCCCATATGGTCCCTTAAGACATAAAACATTAGTCGATTGGTTACAAAAGAAGGAGAGCCTATTCTTTATTATCTTCAAGATGGACAGGGTAGGGCATTTGTACGAGAAGAGTTGTTCATAGTTCCGACGGTACGGTATTACCACCATAACCATAAGCATAGGTAGTTACACCATCATTATCAATCCATCTCTTTGTATCTAAGGGGGATAATGATGTCTTGTTCATTCTTAATCCATATATCCTATGATCGTAACTTCTTAAAGAGTTCATCTCCTGTTTGAATGTTCTACCGTTGAATAATGATTCTTTATACTGTTCGTGTTTGATATGCTTTTTACAACATACTTCTTAACGCGCTTTTCTTATCTCCCCATTATCGGACTTCTTTATAGAATACATCTTAAGGTCTTAATCCTACATACTCCGCTATAGGGGTCCCAGCACATTCATCCTTCATCTTACCTAACACCTTTTTATTTACTACGTTGTGCAGTGGATTATCTTTAGGGTAATCGCTCGTGTCGTACATATCTATTTTTTCTGCCATATCTTTATACACATCCTCGGTTTGTATTTCCATCAACAAAGAATCTGTGTCGGTATATAACACCTCGCATCTATCGCCGTATTGCTTCTTAAGTTCGTTGTAATAAAAGTCATACATTAAGTGTTTTGACAAGTCGAGAATACTCATACCGACGTACACCGGTCTGTTGAATTTTATATTACTCTTCTGCATATGCAACGCGGCTAAGTCGTTATCGAATATCTTGCTTCTGTTAAAAGCCGGACTGGCTATAAGTGTCCTGAGTCTTTCTTCCTCATTAGATCTAACAAATTTAACATCAACACGCTTCCTTAGATTCTCCACAGTTTTACCAAATACTGAGTTATTCATGAGCTTATACAGGTTCTTTTCGAAATCGCTGGTAGCTATCTTTCTTAAATCTGTGTTCAACCTTATATAGGGCTCCATCCTAGGGCTTTGATCGAACTTTAGAACTCTGTGTATTTTCTTAATTTTCATACCTAACGATAGATACAACTGGAGATTTCTGTAGTGAACTATATATTTTGTCTTATCCATCAAATTTGGTACGAGTTTTTCTACCTTAGCTAACCCACTATTACCCATCAAGGAGCGTTGATATTCTGACATCCAATCTTTATTAACCATTAATCTTTCGGGAGCTAGCGGATAACTGTTATGGTCTTTATGTAACGAACTTGGATATTCCAAGTCAACTTCTAGTATGTACCCTTTATTCGCATCATTATTATGGATATCATTCTCATCGACCCATTCAAAACCACCCGTGGGTAAAGGTTGACTCATAGCCCATCCGTACAAATTGTTAGCGTCGAGATATAATATGTGAGTGTCGGGTTCACTCGGATCGTATCCTTCCACTAATTTATTATTAGCCTCAGAATACCTTTTAGCTGCCATCGATATACCACCTCTTAATCCTTTCTCAATAAACAAGTGCATATCATAATCTGTGAGTAATTTTAGTTCTACACCGGTCTTCTTTAACAATGCATCCCAAGATAGTCCGGGACTGGAATAGTACCATGCCGGGTCCAAGCCGTATTGTTTTAAACACGTCTTTCTAAATATCTCGAATATATCGGCGAGTAACAGTACATCGGTTTTTAAGTACAGATCGTGATGATCGCCTAAATTCTTACAACCTAATTTATCCCAGACCGTCAGAGCGTGTTCATAATCGGCATCTGTTATTCTAGATTCTGTTAAGTTACTATAGAATGATTCGAGGGGTGGTAATTCAGTTTCTTCGATTCTAGACCAATCATCCATATATTCGTAAATGACGAGATATCTTATCGGTATATTAATTTGTTATCACAAAGTCATCGGGATTGTTCGCATTAGCTAAATTGTCCAGGGAAGATAACAGAAACTGTACGGAGTCTATGAATCTAAGCCCATTACTTTGCTTTATTCTAGATTTCCCATCCTTGTCCCTAAAATGTATAGGTTTAGTCAACGAGAACGATATGTATTTTTCCATATTATTAGGAATGCACGTTCAACCGCCGTCGGTCTTTGAGATAGCTTGCATAATGAGATGTGAATCGTATCCCCTAAGGTTATGAAACACAACGGGGATGGGTATTGTTTGAGCATTCATTTTTAGTTTCAAGTTACACTCGTTATGCGCGGCTCCCCAATAATTACCCGTGACGTGACAATGATCTCTTAC